GAAAGAAAGAAAGAAAGAAAGAAAGAAAGAAAGAAAGAAAGAAAGGAAGAAAGGAAGAAAGGAAGAAAGAAAGAAAGAAAGAAAAAGAAAGAAAGAAAGAAAGAAAGAAAGAAAAAGAAAGAAAGGAAGAAAGGAAGAAAGAAAGAAAAAGAAAAGAGTGATAAAGGGAGACTCTGAGGTGCAGTTGTAGGGAAAGTCATCGACACTAGCTAGTATAACTGGAAGTTAAATTAATTTTAGGAAAAACCATTTGGATCATTTGACTTGAAAGCAAGGAGCCATAAAAGAGTTTGTGAAGAGAGACAGAAAAATAAGAATAGAGAACATGGATTTACTGAAGTTCTCTTAACAGGACAGGTGGGGTTCTGACCAGAAACCTGGATCAAAGCTGCACTGAGCATCACCTTCACAGTAGGGCTCAATCTTGTAGAGATGAAGCAATAATAATAGTAACAGCAAAAATTATTCGGCACATATTATCATTGTTTGGCAGATGAGGAAAACAGAGGCCCTGGGAGAATATATACCTTGCTCATAGCCACATAGCCAGGAAGTAGTTCACAACAATCATTAACTACAGTAAAAGAAGGTCATGCCGTGTAATTTAGCAACAACTAGACATAGGACTGACTATAGGTCATGCAACTCTCTCCATATCTAGAGGGGAGAATATGGTGATAAACAGAAAAAATACGACGTGGATATGAGTCGACTTAGGCTTTTCAGGCTAATCTCCAGCTTTTATTGCTCTTGGGGCTTCTACTGACTTGTGTTCCTGTTCAGCAGAAATTGCACCATTCCACCTGGTCTGAGTTCCTGGCTCTTAGGGCTGCTTTAGAAGATAGAAACTAGACTTGTCAAGATAGGATAAAGCAGGCTACATCTTAGTGTCTAACTGCTGTCACTCTTGAGATTAGGGCCCGCCTAGAGAATGACACCAAACCAGAAAGTCACCAGGGGGTGACTGTCAGAGCAAAGACCACAGAAAGAAGGAAACAGGAACCAGAGGAGTACAGGGCATCACCTTGACTGAGATGTTATCATAGGAGAGCATATTTTTTCTTGCTCTTGTTCACTGAGAACAAACAAGTTGAATTATTGATGAATCATTTTGAGGTCCTTATATATTTGATAAAAAACAAATGCTCCATAGCTTGATAATTTTCAATATCTGGCTCGGCATGATATGATCAAGGAGTTGGTAACATATTCCCTATCACCCCTAAGTAACCCCCTGCAGTTCTTCAGTACTTAAATAGATGAGAAATGTTTACTTGAACAAAAGTACTTTTGCAGTCCTAACAATAGAATAATATTAAGTAGCCAGGATCATTATATTACTATCACCCATTTTTGTTAATTCATTCCCACTATGAGTTACAGAGCACTTTCATGCATCTTTCACTCAGAAAAACCTTCAAAGTGTGAAGGAGATAGAGCAGGTATAATTGACCTGAACTTAAAGGAAAGAAATAGCCAGGTGCAGTGGTGCACAACTGTAATCCCAGCAGCTTGGGAGGCTGAGACAGGAGGATTGCTAGTTCAAAGCCAGACTCAGCAACTTAGCAAAGCCCTAAGCAACTCAGTGAGACCCTATCTCTAAATAAGATATAAAAAAGGCTGGAGATGTGACTCAGTAGTTAACTATCTCTGAGTTAACTATCTCCAGGACCAAAAAAAAAAAAAAAAAAGAAAAGAAACAGGTTCAAAGTGGAATACGAAGCTGAGAATACATGGTAATTTTTTTACTTTTGAGAAAGTGGAACAGTGAGATTTAAAAAAATCACAGTTAATTGAATATCTTTCTATCAGATGATCAGGTTCACAGAAAAAAAGCATTTGAACTGTGATTATTTTTATAGTGACTCTGATTGGATTATATTAGATCAATTATTTTAATAATCTTTTCACCCTTTTAATTAAAGTCTATTAATCACCAAATGATAAATTTGGGAGTAGGCTCTTTTAGCAGTGAATTATAATTAATCAATGCTCCCCCATGGCTAAGTAACCTTACCTTATTTTATAGCTCAGTTCAACTAAAGATACTAAGCCTTGCTTGACTAATCATCTTTCTGAGCACAAAAATTTCAATTCTTAAAGTTCTATATCCTGAATTTGATATTTTATTCCTGGGCAAATGTTTTTCTTTACATCTCAAAGACTTTCATATATTATACTGTGGTGTCAGACATAGCTTCTGATTTTTTTGTGCAGTCACCTTTACTGTTCAGATCCTCAGTTTCAGATAGACTTTTGAAATGCTACAGAGAGAAAAAGGGGAACATGTTTGTTTTGGCTTTACATTGGAAATTATATTCCCTTTCCCCTTCTGATAAAAGATAAAACATACCCAAACAGCTAATTAATGCCATTTATTTCTTTTCTTTCTCTCTCTCTCTCTCTCTCTCTCTCTCTCTCTCTCTCTTTAATCACAAGCAAATAAAAACGCCCAAAAACATTTGAGGACAATGAGATTCCAGTTACCAATATGATTGTCCTGGCTCCTCCTCCCCCAAAGTAAAAACTGTTATCAACTCTTCACCACTTTATCTGGCTAAGCAAAATAGAGGATAAAATGTTATAAGTTGGTGACATCAATTCACATGAAAATAGATTATAACCCAAATTATACTTACAGAGGTGGATGAGTGTGGAGGGGCTCAGTCATCTTTACTAGGCATCAATTGCATCAAATGTTCATTTAGCACTTGGAAAATTCACGGGTGGTCTTCTTATGGTGATCAGTTTGGATTGAATTCATTAAAAGTACTAGGGAACAAAATCTACCAAATTATGTATGTCCATGTATGAATATAACAAATTAATCCTACTTATGCATATATAATTCAAATAATAATAATAATAATAATAATAATAATAACAACAACAACAACAAAAGAGAGATCAGTAGAGTAGGGAACAGAGGAGGTGAGGGAAAGGGAAGGTACTGGGGCATGAAATTGATCCAATTATGTTGTGTGCAACATAAATATGGGAACAATGAATCCCACTATTATGTAAAATTACAATGCACCAATACATTTTTTAAAAACAGGAAAAAAAGACACACATATGTATATCTTTGGATTCAGATATTAAAACAGATCTCAGATACATGCATGATGTCTTGGGTATAATAAATTTGAAAGCTGGGCATGATGGTGCATGTTTATAATCCTAGTGACTTGGGAGTCTGAGGCAGGAAGATTGAAAGTTTGAGGCTAGCTTCAGCCATTTATCGAGACCCTAAGCAACTTGGTAATACCCTGTCTCATAATTAAAAGCCTGGGGATGTAGCTTAGTTGTAAAGTGCCCCTAGTTTTAATCCCCAGTACTAAGGTGGAGTGTGAGGTGAGTATTCCAAAATCAGAATGGGAAGAACACCTTGCTCTAGTCCCTCTGCCTCTCTATGTCTTACATTTCTGTCATTTGATATGTAGGCATTAAGCCCTATGATCTCTAAACTGTAAAGGCACTTCACAATCTACTACTTACCAATAATTGATACTCATTCAATAATTATATATACTTTATATAGTATAATTATGAACTATAAAATTATATAGTTTATAATTATGCCAGCAAACACTAACAATCAGTATTATATAATATGCTAAAATTCATTAAAATAACTGTCCCTTTACACTTTCTCCTAAAGGGCTTGACCATTTTTCTAGAAATTACTTCCAGTTTTCTTCTCTGTACAGGTAAAACAAGTTATTCCTTTAATAGAAACCTCTATTCCAAGCAGAAAATATGAGCAGATCTTATTCCTAACCCTTAGACCTTACCCTTAACAAGAATTCTATCTCAGTATGAGGGAAAGCATAGAATGAATTTTATTTGTCTTTACCCTTCTATGCGATTTGAGAGTATTTAAGAGACTTTCATCTAGACGCCCATATAAAATAAACAAAGCCTTTACATTGTGTTGGGACTGGGGAAGATGTTCAGGAGGGCATCAGAGGTCACATATTGGTGTGTGTGTGCGTGTGTGTGTGTGTGTGTATTTCATCAATGCATGTGGTTATTTTCCTTTAACAAAAATGGAAGTTGTACATTAGCTGAGTTGTAACAGAGATGATGATCTTTATCATCAACAGTCTTAGATGCTTCATTATCCCTGGCGTCTACTTCCCACAATAGAAAGAAGAAAGGAATTAAAGAAGGGAGGAAGGGAAGAAAGAAGGAGGGGAGGAGAGGAAGAGAAGGTTAAAGGAAGAGAAGGAAAGAAGGCAGGGAGACCAACCAGGTGGCCTGGGGCCTCGAAGAGGAAGTCTTGATTTTTCCTCTGAAACAATCCTAACTAGGCAGCAGCATCTGGGAGTCAGTGCTTTAGACCCCAGGGATGTAGCAGTGCACACACTAGATAGCTCTTCTGTTTTTTTTTAAATTTTATTATTATTTTTTTTAAATACACAACAGGGGAATGCATTACAATTCTTATTACACATATAGAGCACAATTTTTAGTATCTCTGTATAGACAGCTCTTCTTTATGGAGCATAAATTCTCAGTCTCTAATAGGAATGAGTAAGTTGGAGTGTTGATTTGGGTAAATTTTGTACTCAATACTGTTGTGCATTCTCCCAGTGGTAAATATTTAAAATTTTTTCTCCCCCTCTAAAAAAAATGTGATGTTAAGTCAACCAACAGAACAAAAACTTGTTACCAATTTTTAAGGTTAGTAAACAAAATGTTTGTTGTGCTACAATTTTTCACATGAGAGTTAATTTTGTTATTATTTCCTTTCTGTTAGCAAGAGGATAATTGCACTATATTTGAATTTTTAAAAACATGACACTAAATCTTATCAATAGGATATGTTATTTACTCTTTAAAATACTTTCTGATTGTAATCCTCAAAAGTTTCAGACCAGTTGTGTTCATAGAATTATAAAATGAAAGTCCAGTAGTTGGCAGTCCCATTACATAAATGTTCTCCCTTCTATAAATGCCACTTAATGTTAGTTTCATTTTCAGAAACCACCCAACCTTGGCCATGTCCACTTCTTCTTTTCCAACCTCTGCAGTATTTTTTGCCCTGATCACCCTGCCTTTCTGTGCTCCGGATACTTTTAAAGCTGCAGTATATGAACATGCAGTCATTTTGCCAAGTGGAACAGAAGTACCTGTTTCTCAGGATGATGCCTTGATCCTCATGAACAAGAATATAGATATTCTGGAGACAGCAATTAAGCAAGCAGCTGGTCAGGTATTCTTTTATTTCTGCAAGTTACAATTTTGGGGAGGGACAAGGGAGTTGGAATAAGACTGGTGGTTGAATTGTCAATTTTGCACACAGAAAAACAATTTTGATTTGATTGGTTCTGAACAGGGTGCTCAAATCATTGTGACTCCAGAAGATGCGCTTTATGGATGGAAATTTACCAGGGAAAGCATTTTCCCTTATCTTGAGGATATCCCAGACCCTAAGGTGAACTGGATTCCATGTCAGGACCCCCAGAGGTATTCAGCTATCCTAGTTGTTTGTACTAAAGTGCTGTAATTTCTAAAGCATACATGTTCACCAAAGGAAAATTATTTTATCATATTATGGTATGTATTATGTTTATATTTGGACATTTGTCAGGTTTTGAAAAATTACACTTAGAGGAAAATATTCCAAGCTCTCCATTGAAGGGACCACATTTGACGTTCATAGAGTTTATCTGTCCTATCTTTTCCTAGATAGAGAAGTCTTCCCATGGACTTTCTAGTGAGTTATCAGACCTTCTGCTTTGAAACCGCATTTCCCTGTGCTCATAGAGCTAATCTCCCTGGAAAGAGGTTACTTAGAAACCTTTCAATGTAAAATATTTAATATATATGTATATATTGAATATATAAATCCTCTGTCTAGCATGATGAGAAGATGATTGATTTAGACACAGATTGCACACACACTCATTCTTTGCTCTTTCACAACTCATTCCCTCTTTCTCTCTCTCTGTTTTTAAGTGCCAGGGATTGAATCCAGGGGTGCTCCACCCCTGAGCTACATCCCCAGCCCCTTTTATATTTTATTTTGAGACACAATCTTGCTAAATTACTTAGGGCCTTGCTACATCGCTGAGGCTGCCTTTGAGATTGTGATCCTCCCACCTCAGCCTCCCAAGCTGCTGGGATTATAGGCATGTGCCACCACGCTTGGCTCTTTGCTCACTCTTGTTCACTCTTTACCTCATTCTTCTACCTCATTTACAATTATTAAATATTCCTTTGTCATGATCTTGTTGGAGAATCTTAGATATCACATTTTTCTAGGCACTTCTGATGATTCTGAAGTTTATCAGAATAAGAGCCCGGGGGAAATGACTTTTCTTAGCTCTAGAGAAATGAACTGCAATAAGAGAATACTATCAGTCTCTGATATAAAAAAAAATCCTCTCTTTTGTGAAGAAAGTCAATAGTTGACTTCCACATTTCTCATTAAAAACAACACGTGTGGCAAATTTGCAGAAGAATCAAAGATCATAGTGGCCACAGGAACTAGTGAAAATTGGGGAATAGCTTCTTCCGCAAGGTTAATAAATAGCTCTTTCATTTTCCCTAATAGAAGGAACAAACTTTGACCAAAATGAAAAAAAAAAAATAGAGCAAGGGGAAGTGTTTTGCATCATTACCTGAAACAATACAATTACAGTTATCTCAACTGGTGGATTGAGATTGCCCTCACAGACACAGGGAACACTCCAAGAACAGCAGGTCTGGGGAGGCAGATCAAGAATTCAACTTTCCGTATCTTAAGTTGGTGCTGCCCTTTAGTCACCCAGGTGGAGATGTCCTCCTGGCAGCTGAATATACACCTCTGGCATGAGGGGACAGATGGAAGTCTGGAGATAGAAAATCAAAGTCCACATACAGATGATTTTTAACTTCCAGAAGAGTCCACCTGTGGATTGACTTAGAGAAAAGAATAGAGAACAGGCTTGAGCACTAGAAAGTTTCAGGGTTGACATGTAGAAGAGATGAGGAGGAACCAGTGAAGGACACAGAGAAGAGCAGTCAGTGATCAGGAGAGTGAAAGGGTGAGTGCAGGGAGAGAGAGACACGTTTCCAGGAGGAGAGTGGAGCTCTGTCAACTCCTGTAGATAAGTAGGGTAAGATTTGAGTTCAGGTAAGACTGGGAGTCATTGTTGGCGTTATGAGAGTTCAGATGATAGAAATGAAAGTTCATCTGGAGTGCTTCCAATGAGAATGAGCCAGGAGCAACTGATGACCATAAGAGGGACAGCTCTCTTGAGGATTCTTGCTGTAAGAGTGAGCTGAGAACAAAAGCCATATAAGGAAGGGCATAGAAGGTCAAAAGAGTTTTTTTCCCCCTACTTTAGAAAGTACTAGAGTATATTGTATACTGTTGGGAATAATCTAATAGAGAGGAGACAATTAATCATGCCGAAAAGTGAGTAGTGAATTGCTGGAGCAATAGATGTGGCATAAAAAGTCTTCATCAGTTTAAGTATAATGTGTGTTTTTAAAAAATATGCCCTTCTCTCTGAGTGGTTTTTATATTGACACCAATTGTACATAGACCTTTACTATTGTTATTGTCTGTGTATGAACTGACTTAAATATATTGAAAATTTAAATGTCTTCATTAAAATTTGATTTAGATTTGGTCACAGTCCAGTACAAGAAAGACTCAGCTGCCTGGCCAAGAGCAACTCTATCTACGTTGTGGCAAATATTGGAGACAAAAAGAAATGTAATGTCCATGACTCCAAGTGTCCGTCAAATGGCTATTATCAATATAATACCAATGTGGTGTATAATTCAGAAGGAAAGCTGGTGGCACGCTACCACAAGGTAAGACAGAGAGAGCAGAGCCAGATATGAGAATGGGGAATATTATGTTTAGGAGTTTGAGCGTTAGTCCCTATATAATACAATATCATTGGAGATTTTTGGTGAAAATGAGTAATAAATGAAGTGGGATTCTAGGGGGAAAAAAAAACTGATCTGGAAAAAAAATGTAGAGAGAGACCTGATAGAGAAGTGTCATTATGGTCCAGGACTGAGATAAGGTTTTGTGTTTATAAAATAAATAATTTTACTATTGATGAAAAAGGTATAAAGCTGATTGTAATGTGGATACCATTTAATAAAGATATGGTATGAACATGCTTCAAAATTGTAAGAATTAGTTTTTTGCATAAATTAAATTTTTATCAAATCACAAAATATTCAATTTTCAGTACCAGTTAATTTAATTACCTTTTTGTAGATTTAAGTTTAAACCATACAATTAAAAAAAACATTTTGAATTTATATATGACAGCATAATGCATTACAATTCTTATTACACATATAGAACACAATTTTTAAATATCTCTGGTTATATACAAAGTATATTCACACCAGTTCGTGTCTTCATACATGTACTTTGGATAATAATGATCATCATGTTCCACCATCATTTCTAATCCCATGCCCCCTCCCTTTCCCTCCAACCCCTCCACCCTATCTAGAGTTCGTCTATTCCTCCCACGATCTCCCTCCCTATCCCAATATGAATCAGCCTCCTTATATCAAAGAACACATTTGGCATTTGGTTATTTGGGATTGGCTAACTTCACTTAGCATTATCTTCTCTAATTACATCCATTTACCTGCAAATGCCATGATTTTATTCTCTTTTATTGCTCAGTAATATTCCATTGTGTGTATATGCCATGTTTTTTTAATCCATTCATCTATTGAAGGGCATCTAGGTTGGTTCCACAGTTTAGCTATTGTGAATTGTGCTGCTATAAACATTGATGTGGCTGTGTCCCTGTAGTGTGCTGTTTTTAAGTCCTTTGGGTATAGACTGAAGACAGGGATAGCTGGGTCAAATGGTGTTTCCATTCCTAATTTTCCAAGAAATCTTCATACTGCTTTCCATATTGGCTATACTAGTTTGCAGTCCCACTAGCAGTGTATGAGTGTACCTTTTTCCCCACATCCTCGCCAACACTTACTGTTGTTTGTATTCATAATAGCTGCCATTCTGACTGGAGTGAGATGAAGTCTTAGAGTTGTTTTGATTTGCTTTTCTCTAATTGCTAGAGATGTTGAACATTTTTTCATATATTTGTTGATTGATTTTTTATATCATCATCTGAGAAGTGTCTGTTCGGGTCCTTGGCCCATTTGTGGATTGGGTTGTTTCTTTTTTTGCTGTTTAACTTTTTAAGTTCTTTATATACCCTAGAGATTAGTGCTCTATCTGATGTGTGAGGGGTAAAAATTTGCTCCCAAGATGTGGGCCTTCTATTCACCTCACAGATTGTTTCTTTTGCTGAGAAGAAACTTTTTAGTTTGAGTCCATCCCTTTTATTGATTCTTGATTTTGATTCCTGCACCAGAGGAGTATTATTAAGGAAGTTGGGGCATAGTCCCACATGATGGAGATGAGGACCTACTTTTTCTTCAGGAAGAATAATGCATATCATTAGCTTTTAAGAAGCATATAGTTTTGGGGGCTCTTAGGGAGATATTTGGCTCCTGAGAGACAGAGAGATAGACAGAAGGAGAGAGAGAAGAGGAGATAAAAGACATGTTCTGGACACATGTTGCTTATTTCTCTACATTGGCCTTGGAAATTCACTTCTGATTGTCAGATTCATTCACTTTCTAGGATATGTCCTGTTGTCCACTCTAGCAAAATCTTTTACTAACTTTGGAGGGCTTTTATAAGTCAACTCTTCTATAAACAAGTCTTAGTTGGTATACTAAATACTATGCATATTATTACTAGTCTTAGTTGGTATACTAAATACTATGCATTTATTATAGTACCATCTCTACTCGGAGCCTCAGTTTGATGCCCCTGACAAGCCGGAGTTAGTAACTTTCAAGACTACATTTGGAACATTTGGCATTTTCACATGCTTTGACATACTCTTCCACGATCCTGCAGTTACCCTGGTGGAAGATCACCAAGTGGATACCATACTGTATCCCACAGCTTGGATGAATGTTTTGCCCTTTTTGACAGCTATTGAATTCCACTCTGCTTGGGCAATGGGAATGAGAGTTAATCTTCTTGCAGCCAACACACATAAGGTTGGCCAAAGCATGACAGGTAATTTACAACCAGGTATGATGTGTAGCGTATACTTCTACACATGGAGAAACTAATGCCTCAGAGATGATCTGCCTTGTTTTTTTTTTTGCTTTTTGGGTGAAACTTCTCACTACGTCCATCCTCCTTTTAAAAGAAAAGCTAGGGCTGATTTGTAAGTTATGGTCACGATAAAACTTTACCTGTACTATTTCATGTAATCATTACAACTCTGTATGAGGATATTACATCCCAATTTACTAACTAAGAGACAGCACAAATAATTTGCTAAAGTCTCCCCAGCCAGCAAGTGGCCAAACAGGGAACTAAAAAGAGATGTGTTTTAAACTTGCAAAGTCAGAAGCTTATATTATTTTTAGGCTGCCATATAATAAATTACCTTAAAAGTTAAACATAAATGTGACTTAAAACAACAAACATGTATTATTACACAGCTTCTGTTTATCGGGAATTTGGCAGGGGTTAGCTGGGTGGCTTCAGATCATTCTTGTCTCAGGTTACATCAAGCAGTTGGCTGGCTAGCCAGTCATCTGAAGATGAGTCTGCGTCCAGCATAGCTGGCTCACACCACCCTCAGTAGGAACTCTCAGTTCCTCAGTGGGTGTTGGCAAGAGGCCCTCATTTCTTGCCACATGCCTGTCCATAGGACTTTGTAATAAATGTATCCTTGTGGCATGGAAATGTACTTCCTGCAGGGCAAGAATTGAGAGAGGAGAGAAGAGAGGCATAGAGAGACAGAAACAGAAAGCAAGGGAGGGAGGAAGAAGTTATGGTGCTATTTATGGCCAGTTATCACCATCACTTGTACAAAGTTTTGTTCATCAGAAGGGAATCACTAGGCCTAGGGAAAGAGAATGAGATCCACTGTTGGATAGAAGAGTATAGGGTGTTGATATAACATTCGCACAGCCATCTTAAATGTTAACCACCATCTCATTAGATAACTATCACTTTCCTGTACTTCCTCTTACACAAACTCCCCTGCCCCACTAGTGACCTACCCCATGGTACCTTAATCCTAAACCAATCCCAGAAGGACATAATCCCTTTGCTCTGGAAAGCCCCATGGTACCATCAACCTAAATTAATCCCATGCTATTCCTCACCCACCTAGCTCTGATGTAAGCACCCCTGAGCCTATCCCATAGCACCACAGCTACAACTCCAAACTCCTACTCTCTAAAAGCTGAACCCCCTTACATTTTGGGGGCCTGGGACCTCTCTACTCTGTAGAGGAATGGCCTCTATTTGTCAGCTTTGACAAGTAAACCTCTGTGTGGATCTCTGCCTGGTCTCTGTCCTTCATTTCTCACTCACCCATCTCTCACTTTCTCACTTTCCTTTCAAAGAGTGTTGAATAATTTTTGGACATATTTGAAAACTGCCACAGTGGAGAACGGAAAAGAATTTTGCATTAGCTTTCCCTACATTTCAGAGACTCTTGGAACACAAATATTTTTATATTTGGTTTAATTTTCCATAATGCTAATAAAGAATGCTGTCATATTAAATTTATTTGTAAGTGAGACCATCAAACTTGTAGTTCAGTCACTTACTTCCAAGAGAGAATAGAAAGAGTCATTGGGTGTTCAGTGTCACAGGAAGTCTGTATGGCCTCTCATTGTCCCAAATGAGGATGGGATCATACGCCAACTCTGAGGGGTGAATTATTTGTGTGTGTGTGTGCGCGCGCCTGCATTATTGTTTCAAAAGACTTGTCTTCCATTCCCAGGCAGTGGTATCTACGCACCTCACTCTCCCAAGACGTATCACTATGACATGAAAACAGACTCAGGACGCATCCTCATTTCAGAGGTGGATTCACATCCTCGGAAATCCCCGGACTACCCAGCAGCCGTCAACTGGAATGCCTATGCCAATACCATCAAACCCTTCCCAGTACAGAAAAAAACTTTTGGGGGAAATGTTTCCCACGATCAGTTCAACTTCACAGAACTTTTTGAAAATTCAGGAAACCTTACAGTCTGTCAGAAAGAGTTATGCTGTCATCTAAGCTACAAAATGTTAGAAAAAAAAGAGAACGAAGCCTACGTTCTGGGGGCTTTTACAGGACTCCATGGCCGAAGGCAAAGAGAGTACTGGCAGGTAATCTAAGATTAAGTAAATGGAGTGTTTACATGTCTGTAAATTCCAGGTGAACTTTTAATATTTGTTCCGGAAAGTCCAGTGCCTTTCTTGTCAAGGCACCAACAGGATTTCTCTCACACATACTCACACACAGGGATTAATCAAATATGGTATTTGCTATGATATTTAAGTATTATCTGGTCTTTTTGCTTTGAGCACATTTTAAGCAGTGATTTTACCATGACTATTGTCTATGACTGATGATGAACTAGTTTGCAATTGTGGTGAACGCAAGAAGTCTTCCTTAATTAGGTTTCGCCAACAATCTGAATACAGTCTTATTTTTACTTGTGAAACCAACAATGAGTTGGAGTGCGCTTTTTACTTAGTTCCTCTTCTAATTGGATGTCCTAGTCTTTTTGTTCCCTTCAGATGACAAATTTTAAAGGTTGAGACTTTTTCTAGTATGTTGGTTATGAGTTTGCATTTTCTTAGACTCTATGCCTTACTATCTTCTAAAGAGAAGGATATGGAAAGAGGTGAGGTTCATGGGTGGTCCAAACTTTAATCATCCTTTCAGCATCAGTACTATTGTGGCCCCAAGACCCCCCAGTTCCTCAGACTTAATGCCATCATCTACCATACCAAAGTAATGGTTTGAGTCTAATTCTGAACTGATTTATTCCTTTCAGTTCACTTGCTTTTCAGGAAATGGATCAGTTCTTAAATGGCTTAACATTTTCAAGAAAGCAGATGATTATAAAAAAATATGATTCCAATCTCTTTATGGAGAAAGGAAGCTTTGCTTTGCTATGGTTAAAAAGCCAGTCAACAGTTCTTGGACAAGTAACCGAGATATCAGGTGTGTTTTATCTGCATCTGTTCCACATAGGTGTGCACAATGCTGAAATGCAAAACCGCTGATTTGAAAACTTGTGGACAGCCAGCAGAAACTGCTTCTACAAGATTTGAAATGTTCTCCCTTAGTGGTACATTTGGAACAGAGTATGTTTTTCCTGAAGTGCTACTTTCTGAAATTCGCCTGGCACCTGGAAAATTTGAGGTAAGAGGATTTCAAGAGTATTTCAATCTTCTCTTTCTCTGAAGCCAAGTCAAACAAGCTGTGACAGTTGCTATGGCAACTTTATCAGTTTACATTTGCTGTGCAATGAAATTCCTTAAAACATATGACATCTCTAGACAATGGCTCTTAGCCCTGATTTTGTGGGTTGTCAGTTTGAACTGGGTGTAGACAGCCTGTTTTTCTTGTTTGAGATGGGTTCAGCTGAAGTTGGCTAACCTCATTGTTTCTGTCACTTGGTAGTGGGTTGGTTGGGGCTGACTGGTTTGTCATGGGATTGTGTTGAACAGCTGGCATGATTAGGGCCATCTCTCCTTGTGGTCTCTAATCTTTCACCAAAGATGGACTTTTTCACATTTTAGTCAAATGAGTCCAAGAGCATAAAAAGGAAAAGTCACTTTGGACAAGTTCTTTGCAACCCTCTGGGTGCCTATTTACATGTGTCTCATCAAGCAGAGCAAGCCACAGGAGCAATGTAGAACTTATGAACTGAAGTCACTATTTATTGAAGGATTTTTGTTTCTAGATTGCCATTTTCTTTGGTCGCAGTTGGAGACAAGCTGAAAGCTGGACATTTATTTTATAAATTGTAGTGCTTAACCAATTAATTCACAGAAGAAGCTACACTCAAATCAGAATTATGACTGCAAGTTTACATTAGCTAGTTTAAGACTTGCACACACACATGGTCATAACATACTTATACTCTATCAATTAATGTCATCTCCGAACTGTGGCAACCAATGGCAGGGTTACAGTGAGTAGGCTGGAGTCACTGCATGTTCTATAAGGGGAAATAAGAATCTAAGTTAACTCATCCAAGGTATTGGGCAAAAAAGCATTAGAATTGCAGATTTCTAGTGGTCATGTCAGATGTCTATATTTTTGCACATTATCAGATTGGAAAATATCATATTTATAAAAGAGATAATTCTGTGAAGCCAACAGTTTAACATATAATACAGGCTTAAGACTGTGAAATCCAGAAAACAGGAATCCTTGACTGCTATAGAACCTGGTTAGGTTGACTCTCACTAGTCAATTAATAAACTGAACAGCTAATTATAGAAAATCATGATCAGATCTGAAGTGAGGAGTCTGGAGTCCAAATTCCAGTAGCTGAAAGGTGGCTGGACTGGCAGAAATAAGCATAGATGAACTGAAAATATCTGAGCTCACTTCAAGGGAGTACAAGAGGAAAGCAGAGTCTCATAGCTGAGTGAAGTCTAGCCCTACTGGTACATGAAATCCTGCAGGCTTCCAGACAACTGAGCACACATAATCGAATTTTCCATGCACTACTTTGATATTTTTTCTATGACATACAAACATAGACTCCCCCCCTCCAACCCCTGCCCTGAGGAACTGTCCCAGAGTAGGACTGAGAATTAAAACTCATGAAACCATCTCATCCAAGGGGAAAGAATAAAAAATGCTAGAATTTTCTAGACTAGGTTAAAGATCTGAAGGCAGAAATGCCATTTCATTCACTCTGGACCACACATCAGAATGTGGTATTTGAAAAAGTTGGATGGAAACAGTTGAAGAAGAATTTGAGAATATATCAAGAACTTTGTCAGTAACCATTTTATTTCTTTGTTTTAACATTTTCATCACAACTGGTGTCAGAGAATTAGGAGCAATTAGAGAATGATACCAAAGTCTAAATGTTAAATTGTTGAACTCACAGGCTGTGTAGGGCTCAACTCTAAACTTAGTCATTCTTTGGGGGTCATTCTGTTTCCCATCTCTGGATGTGAGAGAGGGAAGGAGGGAGGGGGGGAGGAAAGGAGGAAGGAAGAAGAAAGGGAAGGAAGAAAGGAAGAAAGGAAGGACCCCTATCCTTTAAATTAGGAACTTACAATATAATTATCATTTGTATCTTACTTAACCTACTCCAGCTCATTTTCAGAAAGAAAAAATGAGATACAGATTGCATTAGATCAGGAAAGACATATAAAAGGCCCTTGACAGACAAGGTCTTTGGTATAGCAGGTAGGGACTGCTACAGTCAGGGTGCTATAGATGTTCATTTTTACATGTGCAGATTCAAAGTGGCATGAATTTCCCTGAAATATGTCAGATTCTAAGGAACAAATACTAACCAAACTCACAAGATGGATGAAAGAGAACATCCATTAATTATTTTTGAAAATAGTTACTGGAGAACAGTGAACTATCCTTTCAAGAAGGCTTTGCACTAGCCAGTCTCCTCAAGAGTCCAAACAGAATTAATACAAAGCTGGTTGGGCGTTCATGGAAAAGATTCCAGGAGATATTGTGTTTCTCTGCTTGATCCAAAGACCATGTAGGATTAGGGTGACTAGTTTTCTTCAAAGAGCCAAACAAACAGTAAGCACTTCTTGATTTGTTCAGTTCTTTCTCTGTTAACCTTGAAAAGCATGGCCCTTCTGTTAATATATTATTTCTGGAGAGACCAGTTATAATATTGTAAATGACAGATATTTTACATCAGCTATGCTCACAATGTCTTCTTGAGCATTTGTCCAGTTCCATTGACCAGTAAACACTCACTGGGAAAACATTTACTTATTATCTTAGACTCCCATTTTGGAGAAATTTTAACATACTTAGTAAGTATCTTTTCCCCTCCACTACTCTAGTTTTACTCTAAGAAGGTGGAATATTCTTGACGATGCCCACAAGTGTCAAAATGTCTTGCTCTAGTACCACAGGCAAGTCAGACTTCTTGCTGACAGCAAAAATGAAGTCTGACCTTAGCAACTAACTAGTTATATAACCTCAAGAAAGCCACTTAACCTCTGAATTCTTATGGAAGAGGAAAAGATCCTTTTATCCTCACTGACTTGGTTAAGATGCAGTATGATAATGCACATGAAAGCAGTCTGTGAATAGTGAAGCATAAGAATTGTCTTCTAGAGAATAGAAACATGGCATTTGCAGGTAAATGGATGGCTTTGGAGAAGATAATGCTAAGTGAAGTTAGCCAATCCCTATAAGGAGGCTGACTCATAGTGGGGTAGGGAGGGGGAACATGAGAGAGAAATAGATGAATACTAGATAGGGCAGAGGGGTGGGAGGGAAAGGGAGGGGGCAGGGGATTAGCAAGGATGATGGAATGCGATAGACATCATTATCCAAAATACATGTATGAAGACATGAATTGGTGTCAACTTTATATACAACCAGAGATATGAAAAATTGTGCTGTATATGTGTAATAAGAATTGTAATGCATTCTGCTGTCATTTATTTTTTTAAAAAAATCAATTAAAGAAACAAAAGCTTCATGACCAAATGGGAAAGACAGGAAGCACTAGGGTTAAAGAATCTTCTTGTGAAATAGTTATACTAACTTTACATTCACACATTGCATAAAATTAAACGAAATTTCACAATTGTCTTCTAGGATTTTTTTTTTCTACTTCCAGTTATAAAATATATTTTCCCAGTTCCCAACTTCAACCTTGTTCAAACTGTCTTTTCCCAGCTGATCGGTTTCTTTTTTTTTTTTTCTGACTGTATGATTTATTCTTTTCTTCACTAATCTTGAGCTCTAGACAATAGTGGGATATAAATTTCAACAACTTGCTTTCTGAGGAAGAAAAGGGAAAAGCTCTGTTTTCTGGCATTTGCAAATTATTTTGGTGTAACTATTCTCACCATGATCAACTTCTAAAATGGCTCGTGCTATGGTTTGGAGAAGTGCCCCCCAAAGGTTTCCAGACTTGGTGCCCAGGCTGGCACTATTGGGATGTTGCAGACCCTGCAGGACGAGTGGCCTATGGGAAGTCCTCAGGCCATTGTGGGTGTGTCCTTGACTCTGTGATGTAAGCAGTTTTGCTCCACCATGCACTCCTGCCATGATGTGCTTCCCCTCAGAGGCACAAACCATTTTGATCTGGGACCTTCAAAACCATGAGCCAAAATAAATCTTTTCTCTAAGTTAATTATCTTAAGTATTTTGTTATAGTAACAGGAAACTGACTAACAAAGTTGACTTAACAACACCTGTGACTGTTTCTGGAAATTTAACAACCTGTTCTTGTGAACCTATACCTCAGTGGCTCCAGCACACCAGTGGCTCTAACTCAACTAGAGAATAAAAGCACATTGCCTAGGCCTGTCACAAACATTTCCAAACCAGAATGAACCTTTGCTGCTCAGATTTCCACTTCCCATAATGTTTCTCTGCCATACAGCTGTAGGAAAAAAAAAATCCTAACTTCTTTTCCTAGATTGTATCTCATTCTGGCAAGTAGACCAGGCCAGCTTTTTTTTCCTGAGACTTCCTAAGTTCTTATCTGTTTTCCTCTCCAATATATTAATATAAGGTTTCTCTATGGTTAGAATCTGCTCAGTTTTACCACCAACTTCTCAGTTGCTTAAGGGAAAAATGTGCTCTATTTCCTTATTTTCTTGCAATAATTCAACCCAATGAATCATTTCTGCTGCTGCTGATATTGACTTTTCATTAATGGTCACATTCAATACTTGAAACTGAAATCATGAACCCTCTTAATTGCTCTAGTTTTCATTATATGTAAATAGCTATCCTGCCAATCCTGTCTGTTCCTCTTTCCTGAGCAGGAATGACTTGATCAACCACTTTACCTAGGGTGGTTTCAAAATTATTAGTTCAATTGCAATACGTGTTTTAATAAAGCTGACTGTACTTTGCTTACTTTCTCTTTAGGTGCTAAAAGATGGGCGTTTGATAAACAAGGGTGGATCTTCTGAGCCTATCTTAACAACGTCACTGTTTGGGAGGTGGTACATGAAGGATGCGATTTACAATTCATGTCCACCCAACAATTCAGCTATAACTTACCTGCTGACATCTATATTACTAATTATTTATAAAATATTATAATGATAATAGAAATCTCTGTCATTTTAAATGTATTTTTCAGGTTCCCAAGTGAAAATCTAAAGGCCTATTTAAGGTAGCATCAATCAAATATTTCTATTTTTTTCCATTAAAAATTATTTTTTAAGTACTGTAATTTTCTTTCTTTCTTTTTCATTTCTTCTCCTTTTTGACTATTCTAAAATGTTGCAGTGTGGTACAATGAAAAAAGCATGGAATTTAAGATAAAAAAAAATGGGCATCACACTTACTAAGTTTCAATCTGTGACTCCTAGTGTATACCTGTGAGTGTGAGAGAGTGAAGAATAAAGTTTCCGGGATATTGTAAACATAGCTGTGTCTTTGAATTGAATAAGTTCCCTTTGACATTAAAGACCTTTTGAACTCACATAGTTTTCTGTGCTACTGATTAGGGAGAATCTGCTTTCAAATCAGATAGTAATGTCAAAGTTCATCTTACAGTAAAGTGTTATTTTGAGATGTTCTTGAAGAAATGATAGCTATTCGTATGGGTATTCTGGCACATTCTGATAATCCCAGCAACTTGGGAGGCTGAGGCAGAAGGATTACAAGATTGAGGCCAGTCTGGATAACTTCACAAGACCTGTCTCAAAAAAACCCCCCAAATTAAAAGGAATGGTGATGTTACTCAGTGGTATAGCACCCTTGGGTTCCATCATCAGTACAAATAAATAAATAATAACTATTCTAAGTTCAATTCAAGGAGACCTAACTGATGATCCCAAACTATTCCACCTGAAGGCTACAGTTTAATTTAATAAGCTCAAATTCCACAACACAAAGACCATTGTTGTTAATGGTGTAATTCAACATTGGATAGTCTACTTCTTTCAATGTACATGTATATTCTATGTTACTTAAAACATCTCATGTATTTATTACCAGTCACTTAATGGTAACAAATAAATATCTTTGCATTTTTAGTTTTTAAAATTTTATATCTTCCCAATTATTTTTAAGTTGATTACTTGTACAGTAAAAATTATAATTGAGGCATTTGTGTTTTTTTATATTGCTATCAGTCTACATATAGATTCAATTTAAATATTCTAAAATGCAATAGAAAATAAGACCACTTTATAATTTAGTGGCTACCTATTAAGAGAAGAGATATGCCCAGCAAAATCAAGCTTCAGAAGTGACAATGAGCCATTTGCTTTCTGCTTGCTGTCTTGCTTGCTCTGTCTGCATTGTCCGGCAGCGGCATATAGAAGTTGGAACTTGGCATTGCATCTAATAGACTTAAGAACTTTGTGAATAAGCCAAAGTGTCAATAACAACCCATGCTCTTATCACCTTAGAGAAAAGACTTGTGGCTTATTAAGTCAACTTAGATGCTTACTTGCTATTCTGGATTGCCCCATGAGAGGCAGAGGTCCAGATCCGCCAGCCACAGTCTGCGCGCCGCTGCACGCGGCTGCCGGCCCGTCCGCCGGCCCGTCCGCCCGCAGCAAACGTGACTGGGTCCCGCTAGCCTCCAAGACGCAGCTTGGCAGGAAGAAGTCTTTAGCCAAGCCTTCATGAATTAGCTAGCTGGGAGCTGAAGCCAACCGGAGACGGACCAGTCCCACCCCTCCCTTAGGACACTCCGGCAAGGAGCCTGGGGCCCCGCCATAGCAGAGAGGTGACGTCATCGGAGTTCGGCCGTGGGAATTCCTTCCCAGCAGAATCCACTTTAGCAGGTGTGTGACTCCCTCCCCATCCAGATACAAGCAGCCAGGAAACTTCATGGACCTCTCAGGGGTCGTGTCTGTAGGGAAGTAGAGGGGATCCCCGACCCCCAACCCCCCATATCACCAGCGGTGACTCCCAAGGTCTTAGCCGCCAGTTTACCACAGCACTAGGGCTTAAATGGGACACGCGGTGGGGCTGCAAGTGTAACTAGATCTCTGGGGAACCGCTTCTGGTGAACAGGACCTGGCTGGCTGGCTGACAGGAGGAAGGGGAGTAAGGGCCAGAGAAGTGAAACGGCTCTGGACTGACAAGTCTGAGAGACTCCCAGGAGACGCCTTACAGGGATTGCTATGGGCAGGTAGAGAGCAGAAGCTCCGCTCGGAGGGCACAGCTCCGCCTACTGGAAGAGAAGAAAATGGATCTCTAAGACTTCAATATTTTTTTTTCTTCTTCTCTCTCTATTCCTTTCTCCCCTTTTCCTTCTCTCTTTCTTTCCCGTTTCAAGTTTTATCATTCTTTTCATTCTCCTCTAATCTATCTCTCTCTCTCTCCTTCTTTCTTTTTAAGAGCACCTTCATTCCCCTACCCCCCAACTTTCATCCCAAGCATTACGTCTTCCATTATGTGTAATTGTCTAAATGCAAATAGGTGAAGGTCTCAAGGCTGTATATAGGGCTCCTAAATACCTAGCTACTACCAACACCCTGATCCAATTGCCTGTTAGTATCCACCTTCAGTAGAGCAATCTTCTAAAGTAGCCAAGACATACTAACCCTCGTACCATCATAGCACCTAACCTAAACATACAGTCCTAAGAATAAATAACAAATCACTATATGCATACAGAACCTGGAAGCCTTTTATGAACTGAATGAATCAGCTTTAAAGTACAATAAAGCCCAACATTTCTAGGCATAATCTCCCACCACAAAGGAGAGACAACAGAGATATACAAAGCCAAAACAAATGTATAGGAGAAAGCAGTTATAAAGCAGTCAAACAGAGCTGGAAAGTAACGTGAACAACATGAAAAAACAAGGGAAAAAAGGACTACAAACAATGCAAGACAACTTAAATCTACAGGAGGACCTAGAAGCATCAGAAACATGGACAGGGAAAGAAATCAAGGCATACCTAACTCAGATGGAACGGAATATTAGAGAAGACATGAGACAGCAAGTCCAAGCATTGAAAGTATATTTTGAAAATGAACTAAACAAACAAATTCAAACTGCAAAGAACGAGCTTTACCAGGAGATAGAGATTAAAAAAAAAAAAAAAAAACCAAACAGTAATCCTAGAAATGCAAGAAACCATAAACCAGATTAAAAACTCTAACGAGAACATTACAAATAGACTAGATCAAGTAGAAGTCAGAACATCAGATAATGAAGACAAAGTTTATCAACTTGAAAAGAATATAGTCAACACAGAAAAGATGCTTAAATCTCATGAGCAATCTATCCAAGAGATATGGGATCTCATAAAAAAACCAAATTTGAGAGTCATTGGGATAGAAGAAGGCACAGAGGTTAAAACCAAAGGAATGGACAACTTATTAAATGAAATAATCCTAGAAAACTTCCCAGAGATGAAAGATGGAATGGATTGCCAAATCCTGGAAGCCTACAGGACCCCAAACATCCAAAACCGTAATAGACCAACTCCAATACATATAATTATGAAGATAGCTAACATACAGAACAGGGAGAGAATATTAAAAGCTACGAGAGAAAGGAGGCAGATTACATTCAGGGGTAAACCAATTAGGTTAATGACTGATTTTTCATCACAGACTTTGAAAGCGAGAAGATCCTGGAACAACGTATTTCAAACGCTGAAAAACAATGGATTCCAACCAAGAATACTATATCCGGCAAAATTAAGCTTCAGATTTGACAATGAAATTAAAATCTTTCATGATAAACAAAAGCCAAAAGAATTTGCAGCCAGAAAACCAGCACTGCAAAGCTTTTTGAGCAAAATACTATAAGAAGAGGAAGTGAAAAATAGTGCCCCAAACTAACAGTGGGAGGTATCTCAGTAAAGGGGGAGAAAAATAACCAAAGAGGAAAAACTAGCCAAACTAAAATAAATAAATAAATAAATAAGCATGACTGGAAGTACAAACCAAATTTCAATTGTAACCTTAAATGTTAATGGCTTAAATTCACCAATCAAGAGACATAGGCTAGCAACCTGGATTAAAAAAAGAAATCCAACAATATGCTGCCTTCAGGAGACTCATATGATAGGAAAAGACATACACAGGCTGAAGGTGAAAGCTTGGGAAAAATCATACCACTAACATGGCCCTTGGAAACAAGAAGGAGTGGCCATACTCATATCGAATAAAATCAACTTCAAGCCTAAGTTAATCAAAAGGGATAAAGAAGGACACTATGTACTGTTAAAAGGAACCATCCACCATCAAGACATAACAATTATCAATTTGTATGCACCAAACAATGGAGCTGCAATGTTCATAAAACAAACTCTCCTCAAGTTCAAGAATCAAATAGACCACAAAACAATAATTATGGGGGACTTCAATACACCGCTCTCGCCATTGGACAGATCCTCTAGACAAAAGCTGAACAAAGAAACTATAAAACTCAATAACGCAATCAATAACCTAGACTTAACCGACATATATAGAATATATCAACCATCGTCAAGTGGATACATGTTCTTCTCAGCAGCACATGGATCCTACTCAAAGATAGACCATATATTATGCCATAGGGAGACTCTCAGTAAATATAAAGGTGTGGAGATAATACCATGCACCATATCTGATCATAATGGAATGAAACTGGAAATCAATGATAAAAGAAGGAAGGAAAAATCCTACATCACATGGAAAATGAACAATATGTTACTGAATGATCAATGGGTTACAGAAGACATAAAGGAGGAGATAAAAAAATTCATAGAGACAAATGACAATACGGACACAACATACCGGAACCTATGGGACACAATGAAAGCAGTTTTAAGAGGGAAATTCATTTCTTGGAGTTCTTTCGTCAAAAAAAGAAAAAAACAACAAATAAATGAACTCACACTACACCTCAAAAACCTAGAAAAGGAAGAGCAGGACAACAGCAAATGTAGTAGAAGACAAGAAATAATTAAAATTAGAGCAGAAATCAACAAAATTGAAACAAAAAAAAAACCATTGAAAAAATTGAAAAAACTAAAAGTTGGTTCTTTGAAAAAATAAATAAGATCGACAGGCCCTTAGCCATGCTAACGAAGAGAAGAAGAGAGAGAACTCAAATTACTAACATATGAGATGAAAAAGGCAATATCACAACAGACACTACAGAAATACAGAAGATAATTAGAAAGTATTTTGAAACCCTATACTCCAATAAAATAGAAGATAATGAAGATATCAATAAATTTCTTAAGTCATACGATCTTCCCAGATTGAGTCAGGAAGACACACACAATTTAAACAGACCAATAACAAAAGAAGAAATAGAAGAAGCCATCAAAAGACTACCAACCAAAAAAAGCCCTGGACCGGATGGGTATACAGCAGAGTTCTACAAAACATTCAAAGAAGAATTAATACCAATACTTTTCAAGCTATTTCAAGAAACAGAAAAAGAAGGAGTTCTTCCAA